ACTTTCAACCCCATAGGCATGGGTGAGATAGAAGAACTACAAGAGACCTTCCTTGTATCCTGGAGTCAATGCTGGCTCAGGCTCCATGGATAAAACATTGCTGTTATTTAGGGCTTCCTGCTCCTGTCCCAAAGGATCAGGGATTTTTTTTCCACACCTGCATGATGTGATGCATGATGAAATGGAAAGTGAGCAGCTTCAGCATGTGCTCTGGCCATTGGGTCACTCTTAGGAAACACTGGTCTGAATTTCCACGGACAGAAGGGAAAATAAACCCTGAACTTCCAGCATTCAAAGACAGGTTTCTAACTGCTGTTAGGTTATTCCCATGTTAATAAAGAGACCTTCAGAGCACTAGCTCAGGTATCCAAGTTCCAGGAGTTGCTCTGAGGGCACCAGGGGTTCACCAAGTCCAGCATGTAGCAATAAGCACATCCAAAGAGAAGCAATGTTTTAAGTATCTGCCACTGTTTCCTATTTTCTTGGCTCATATGGTGTCAAGCCTGGGGACACATAATGGAAAGGGGGGAACACAGGACACAACTGAGAGGATGAGAATGCAAGAAATGGTCTCCTGTACATCCTGCTGGGAATGGCGAGTCACCCTCCTCTCATCTTAACCCCATCCTCAGACTTTAAAAGATCATAAGTCCAGCCAGTGCTGTCCTCTGGATCTAAGTAGGCATCAATAATATAGAGGAAGGGATCTGTTTGGGCTCTACAGAGACAGAGGTTTGTTAACTAAGGGGTCCAAAACATACTCTGATTTAAAACATACAATAATTATCAAGCTAATACCAAACACCTTCAGAGATCACCTGCACAGTCCACTTTAGAAGCAGCTCTGAGGGTGTCTCTAAAAGCGATGGCCATTGGTGGCTCATCAATGGCCAGATCATGGAGCAAATAACTGAAAGCCAGTCCTCAGCCTTTAACACATCCCTCTGGCAAAGCAAAACATGGCAGCAGTCAATGTCCCTGGTTGATCCCGTGCAACAACAGCAGCACAATGCCAGGAGAATCAGCATCAAGCATCTCATACTGATTTGCATTATTTTGATTACAGGATGACTCACGCTCCCACAGCTTTTTGGCTAAAACAAGACAAAACAGAACAGACGATATTCCCTTGCTGAGGGAAATTGTTCAAATATTTCTGATGTGATCTAGACCAATTGCCTATCCCTTTTTTCTCAGAAATAGGGCTTGGTGACAATTGCTGTTTAGAGCAGAGGGAGCAGACCTAGAAATGAGTTCCTCAAAAGTGATGAGGCAGTGGCTTTAACAGTCTAACCACAATTTTTTTTCTGTGCTTGGGATAAGTGTGGGGTTTAGGACACCACTTTTCTGAGCAGCACACCTTGCAATTCTCTTGCCCACAGAGGCTGGTGACAAGTGGCTCTCACAAGACACTTCTGTCAGCCAGGCAGCTGGTCCAGCGAGCAGAAGAATGATAGCCAAGAGTTCACTAGGGAGCAGCTACACCCCATAACCTGCCTCAAGAAGGACAACGTGTCACAGAGCACGATGAAACCAGCAGAAATCTTAACAGCCATGAATAGTTGAATACATTTAAAATCAGAAGGCAATTTAATCAAAATTATAACCATGTGTAAAAAACTGCCTGCCCTTCTGTGAGAGATCTCACTGCCATGCAGTCTTCTAGCACCAACACATACACCTCTTCAGAAGAAACACATACACCTTTTCAGAAGAAAGTAAATGATTATGAAGAACACAGGTCCTGAAGGAGCTGGAGAATGAAGTTGCTAAGCCACTGTCCATCATATTTGAAAAATCATGGCAGTCAGGTGAAGTTCCCAATGACTGGAAAAAGGGAAATATAACCCCCATTTTCAAGAAGGGGAAAACGGATGACCTGGGGAATTACACACCCGTCAGTCTCACCTCAGTGCCTGGCAAAATCTTGGAGCAGATTCTCCTGGAAGGCATGCTAAGGCACATGAGAAACAACAAGGTGCTTGATGGCAGCCAGCATGGCTTCACTAAGGTGAAATCGTGCCTGACCAATTTGGTGGCCTTCTATGATGGGGCTGTGGAACTGATGGACAGCGGTAGAGCAGTTGTCATCATCTACCTGGACTTGTGCAAAGCGTTCGACACTGTCCCACATGACATCCTTGTCTCTAAATTGGAGAGACATCAATTTGATGGATGGACCACTCGGTGGATAAAGAACTGGCTGGATGACTGCATGCAAAGAGTTGTGGTCAATGGCTCAGTGTTGGCATGGAGACCTCATAGCAGCCTTCCAGTACCTGAAGGGGGCCTATAAGGATGCTGGGGAGGGACTCTTCCTTAGGGACTATAGTGATAGCGCAAAGGGTAATGGGTTAAAACTTAAACAGGGGAAGTTTAGATAGGATATAAGGAAGAAGTTCTTTACTGTAAGGGTGGTGAGACACTGGAATGGGTTGCCCAGGGAAGTTTGAATGATCCATGCCTGGCAGAGTGGAAGGCCAGGTTGGACAGAGCCTTGGGTGACATGGTTTAGTGTGAGGCGTCCCTGCCTATGGCAGAGGGTTGGAACTAGATGATCTTAAGGTCCTTTCCAACCCTCCAGGCAGCCTTCTCTTCTCCAGGCTGAACAGCCCCAACTTTCTCAGCCTATCTTCATACGGGAGGTGCTGAGTCCCCTGATCATCCTCGTGGCCCTTCTCTGGACAGTTACATGTCCTTTTTATGTTGAGGACATCAGAACTGCACACAGTACTCCAGGTGAGGTCTCACGAGAGCAGAGCAGAGCAGAGGGGCAGGATCACCTCCTTTGACCTGCTGGTCACACTCCTTTTGATGCAGACCAGGATACGGTTGGCTTTCTGGGCTGCAAGCACACACTGCCGGCCCATGTTCATTTTCTCATCAACCAACACCCCCAAGTCCTTCTCCACAGGGCTGCTCTGAATCTCTTCTCTGGCCAGCCTGCAGCTGTGCCTGGGATTGCTCCGACCCAGGTGTAGGACCTCGCACTTGGCATGGTTAAACTTCATAAGGTTGGCATCAGGCCACCTTACAAGTGTGTCAAGGTCCCTCTGGATGGCATTCCTTCCCTCCAGGGTATCAACCGAACCTCACAGCTTGGTGTCATCAGCAAACTTGCTGAGGGCGCACTCAATCCCACTGTCCATGTCACCAACAAAGATGTTAAACAAGACCGGTCCCAACACCAATCCCTGAGGGATGCCACTCGATACTGGTCTCCAGCCAGACATTGACCCTCACACAACTCTTTGTGTGCGGCCATCCAGCCAGTTCTTTATTCACCGAGTGGTCCACCCGTCAAATCGATGTCTCGCCAATTTAGAGACAAAGATGTCATGTGGAACAGTGCTGAATGCTTTACACAAGTCCAGGTAGATGACATCAACTGCTCTACCCCTGTCCATCAGTTCTGTAGCCCCATCATAGAAGGCCACCAAATTGGTCAAGCAGGATTTCCCCTTAGTGAAACCATGCTGGCTGCCATCAAGCACCTTGTTGTTTCTCATGTGCCTTAGCATGCCTTCCAGGAGAATCTGCTCCAAGATTTTGCCAGGCACTGAGGTGAGACTGACGGGTGTGTAATTCCCTGGGTCATCCATTTTCCCCTTCTTGAAAATGGGGGTTATATTTCCCTTTTTCCAGTCATTGGGATCTTCACCTGACTCCCGTGATTTTTCAAATATGATGGACAGTGGGTTAGCAACTTCATTCTCCAGCTCCTTCAGGACCTGCGGATGGACTTAATCAGGTCCCATGGACTTGTGCATGTTCAGGTTCTTAAGATGGTCTTGAATCAGATCCCCTCCTACAGTGGGCCTAGGGTCTTCATTCTCGCAGTCCCTGCGTCTGCCTTCCAAGACTTGGGTGGTGTGGTCAGAGCATTTGCCAGTGAAGACTGAGGCAAAGAAGTCATTAAGAACCTCAGCCTTCTCCAAATGCAAATTTTGAATGGCTATATAATTTTTCTAAACAAAACAGCTTTTATATATTATTTGTTTCATTTCAGACAGAAAGCTATCACAAAAATTTACAATTCATAAAAATAATTATTACTATCATGTTATCTTCTATTTCCTAAACGAAATATATTTTCTCATAAAGAAATAACAACGCTTTTAAGTGGTCTAGGAATAAGCCTATGGTTACTTACAAAGAGCAGTCACAGAAGGTTGTCTTCCAGCCTTTACATGGAAAGCCCCACATCAATATATACAAAAAGAAAATCTGATAAATAATTCCATTTGCAAGCAAGCAAGCTAATATTTGGGGCTCAAAACACCTTAATTTTGCTGAGCCCAGCGAAAGATCGTTCTTATTCCCAAAGTAATGTATCACACATGATCCACTACAAGGCAACATACAGCTCAGTAACAGCTGAGTACCAAAGACTTTTCCAAGCTTAGCCTGAGACTTTTCCAAGGCTTGCATGAGACAAGGGAACAAAAGGACACACAGACGCCAATTGCCATGCTGAGGAGCTGGCATTTCCAGCCTCAGTATGAAAGTCTCCTCATCCTGCTGTTGTGTTTTTTGCCAGAGTGAAGTGCTGTGCCTGGCAGGATAGGGCACAGCAAAAGGAACAGAAATCATGGATCAACTCAGTGCCCCATGGAGAAATTCTCTGGCCAACATGGAAAAGAAGGGCTGGAAAATCCCAGATTAAAAGAATATTTCCCACTAGCTTCAATGAAGAGCAGAATCACTGCAAGCAGTATCGTTGCAAGAGGTTAAGGAGTGTTAAACAAAAGGGTATAGATTTAATGGAGAGTTCAGGAGTCAATTCTGATTTTACAGGCTGGTTCAACCAAACTAAGTTAAACCAAACTGCATCATTCACAACCATGTCACACAGAGAAGTCCCAGAAAAATAGCATCTTGTCTTGCAGAACTACAGCATGAAGAATACTTCAGTTTCACCACTGAGGGAAGTAGTTAGATATATTGTACAGTTTGACATTAAAAAGCAAATGATACTTAATTCCAAAAGGAAGAGTTACCTTCTGGAGGAGTTCCAACACTGTTCCCAAGACCCAAAATAGCAATGCTGTGATTCCTTGGTTCCAACATCATTGCAAACTCTTCTCCTCTTTCCCAGTGTGGTACTTTCACAGGCTCCAGATGTACATTTTCCAGCCCGTCTTCCCGCAAGGCACTGAACATATACTTGATGGCTGCATCTAGATTTTTCATACCACTTAGTCTAGGTCCTATGGCATCAGCAAAAACTGCTAATCTTTCATAGGATCTATTCTGAGCTTTTCCATGAACAGCAAGATCAATAATAGCTTTAGCAATATCAGTATAGCCAGCTATCTCATTTTTAATGTCTTCATATGTCTTTGGGCAACTGCTACCTCTTCTCAAAGACTTCCCAGCATACAGTGATAATAAATTCATGAAAAATATTAAGAATACACACTTCATTTTTTCTTTTCTTTTTTTGTTCTTTTCCACAGATGGCCTGTTAGAAAGACAAAAAGAAAAAAAAAATAAAAAGGATATAAAACTCCCTCATACAGCTATCAGCAGCACTCTTTGTTACTAGATTGGCAGACAGAACAAAATGAAAAGAAATCAGTTTATCATGAAAATGCTTTGATCAGAACTGGCAGGAAAGAAAACTCAACTTAGAGACACAGTTATTGAAAGCAAATGAAAAAGATACTTAGACCACTGGGCACAATCTTTGTTGTGGTCTTTAGAAACATCCTTGGAATGCTGCACCTCTTTAAATAATCACATCCTTTACTAAATCAAAATCCAGGGCTGCTCCCATCCAGGAGGAGCTCTGCATCTCCTTTCTGTTAGCAGCAGAATTTGCCAGAAGTGCCAAATCAAATGTCTTCACACAAAACATCTGGACAAAACCATTTCTTGAACCATTCAGGAATAAAAGTGCTTCTTAATCTCTATCTTCATAATCAGGAAAGCAGTTTCTATTGGACTAAAAAGATGACAGAGCAACTTAGATCCAATGCGCTCAGGAAGAAAATACTAATTTCTTCATTGTAGAAATCTGCGACTATCAGAAAAACAGTTTCTTATTAACTGGTGTATCTCTTAAGGACTGACTTCATCAGCATTGTAGAGAGATGCAGTGCCAGAGGTACTGATCCTGAGTTGAATACCAAGAGTTACCTTTCTTAACGCTTAATAGTTTATCCATCTTATTGTTTAAAGTTCTCATTTTTTAAGATCTTACAAAGCAATAGTTTGTTCTATACTATTAATTGAACTGATATAAACCCTCTGGAATAGTAGTTGCAAAGCTCTTTTATAACATAGGAAATACGACTATCTAAGTCCAAAATATAAAGGTCTTTATTGATATACACAAAAGAAATGTAATTGGTTTATTTTCCTTTGAATTTTAATCAGGCTGCAATGTGAATGATAAAAATTAGCAATAAGAAATAAGGCCTTTAAATCAGCTGTATAGCTGCAGCTATTATAAGACTTTAAAACAAAAGTAATTAGTTACAGCCAAGTGAACTGACAATTACTGCTAGCCCCAAAATATTCAGATTCAGCACTTTTACCATTTTCACAGACTTTCACGGGAATACCAGTATTTTTGAAAAAGAATGCAACTTGCCTCAAAAAACAGTTACACTAAAGGCAAATGTTAGCCTCTACAAAATATGTTTTACTAGGAAACAGCTGTTCTACAAAAGTCAAAGGACTAGTTCACTGACTTAATATACCTTCCATTTGTATTTATTTAGTACCAAGGTCCCTTGGAATGTCAGCACAACCATCTACTGTACTAGTCACTTCGCCTAACTTTGTATTATCTGCAAACATGCTGAGGGTGCCCTCTGTTCAAGCATCCAGACCACTAAAGAAAACACTGAAGAGTACTAGACAAAGCATTGCCTCCTGGGGGACACCTTTAGTTACTGGCCACCGACTGGGTTTTGTGCCAATGATCACAACACTCTCAGCTCAGCCTTTGAGCCTGTTTCCAATCCACCTCATACAGAATGACTGAAAGAATTAAACCACATTTCTAGGATCCATAAACCACCAGAAGAAAAACAACAACAACCACCAAACAAAAAATACACACAAATGTTTTAGAGTCACCAAGCCTTGCCCATATGATAACCAGTGCAAATTTCCAGCCTTTCATAGGCCTTTATGGGTCTTCTCATAAACAGTAAGTTAAACAATAGCTTTAGCAATATAAGAATATTGCGCTGTTCTCCTTAACTGTTCAAATGTCCCCTAAACTTGAGATCGAGGCAGCAACAAATTCTTCACAGTGAAATGTCACTTTGCCAAAAGAACAACAAAAATAATCTGTGAATTTATCTGTGAATGACAAATCTATCACAAAGATTTCCTCTCTGTCTCTGCAAGACAGACAGGGCAAAGGTCTTACACAAGCAGGAACAGAAGACTTGGGTTATCTCAGGACACTGACAGAGAACTGTTAAATGCCTTTTATAGTTTGAGTTACTGTTTATTTGTGATTATACTGCTCAGAGGTTACTGGTGTATTTTTATTGCTACACTGTATACTTTCCCCATGTTCTTTCCCTTTGGACCAGTTAATTACATGCCTGTAGACATCCTCTGCTAGAGATACCAGTAATTTTCTCAGAATGACCATGCTTGTTCTCTGATTTTTGCCAAGCTCATCATCCACGAAGAAGCAAGCAAGATAATCTGATTTCTGCCATAAGACAAATTCTTACTGAGTGGAGTAAGACAACAACATTGTAGAGTTAGCTTCAAAAGCTTCAAGTGTGGGGTTTGGTTTGTTTTAGGGTTTGCAAAGTCTACCATACAAAGCTGATACGTTTAGTTGTTAAACAGAAAACACAGGGGGATTTTTTAATTGGCATTGGCTACCTCAAAGAGTCCCCTGCTACTAACTTCATGCATTCCTTCAATGGAGAAATGAAACCACAGTTATCATATTTCCCTTAACTAAAAAATGCTTCCTTTGCTTTTCCTGGACTCATTCAAAACCAGCAGCAACTTCTCTCCAAAGGCTGCCCCAGAGGAGCTGCATTTAAAAGCCACACTTTTTCCAGGAATTTCCCATGTGTTTCCACAGCTTTTCTAGATGTAACACACTCCTGCCATGCACAGCATTTCACTGCCTACCATTGCACTGTAAGAGGAGCATAACTGAATTCAAAACCTGTGCAATGATACAAGAATGGGAATATAATTTATTGTGCTTTCCTTGACTAGTCTGGAATAACCTGTCCAACGGCTAGCAGAGCTGAGAAATAATTCCCTGCTAGGTAAAATAACATCATACTCACTTGGACTGTAATACAGGCATCACTACACTGCTAATTCAGGGAAAGAAAAGCACATCTGTTGTCCCAGACTCTGCAACATTAAGTTTATCATCTCAGTGAACCATCAGGGAAAAGAGACTACTGATTTTTGTACATCTCACTAGTTACAACTCAGCAAATGAACATCACAGTGTCAGCCAAATTAACGAAAAAAAAAGTAATAGGACAGTCACAATTGTTCAATGCATTTTAATTATTAACTGAATTTCTTCAATAGAAGTTTAGAGCAAAATGAGAGTGGAAGAAAACACACTTTTAGGAAGTGTTTTTTCCAGACCTATCAATGCGTCTCGTTCCATGGTTCTTTAGTACAAAATACCCATTTTCTAAACTAGGGATAATAATATGAGGTTCCCCTCCTTGCCTTTCCAGGAAGCAAGAATGCTCTTTACAGAGTTACAACCCCTCCACTTTATTTTTCTGATCATGTAAAACTTGCATGCACCAAAAGGACACAGAATAGCCCCATTCCAGCCTTGCCTGAAGACTCATATTTATGGTATATTCTTAAAAAAATTAAGCTCTCGAGACTATATAAAATGACAACTCCTATCTTTCACTTCTTCAAAGGGACTTCTAATAACTGACATAAACAAAAAGTGGGAGCCGCTACTGATCCTCTTCCCATTTTGAGCAGAACTGAAAGCCACTGACATATTAAACATTGCCTGTTTATGACAGATGAATTTGGTCTCTTCAGAAACTTCAGCAGAGCTCAAGGTTTAATTATCTCTAGTTTAAAGGGTTGCATAGGCTCTCAGCTTTCCAGGATGAAAGATTACACTTAGGAACCATGGAAACTCTGTTCTCCAAAATGAGAACAAAGCTAAAACACAGTAATGTACAACAGTTCCAGATCTTTTAGCTTCAGGTAAAGTGGACAGAGGGCACCCATCCATGACAATACCTGGATCCATCTGAACGTAAGAATGCACTTTTTTACCTGCTGCAGCTGACCCTGCTTAAACAAGGAGTTTGGACTAGATGAGCTCACAAGATGTCTTCCAGCCTAAATCTGTGATTCAGAATACAGAAGGAAGCCATAAACATAAGCTGAAAGAATTTAAAAAAAAAATAAACAAATAAATCAAGGGTGAAAGGGTTTAGGTATGCAGAAGAAAAACAGAAATTAAAGGCAGAAAGTAACTCTTTTCCAGCTCCAATTAGTATGAAAGAGAATGAAAGATACAGCACAATGGTAGTGCAGTGCAGATGGTGTCAGAAGACTTTTAATAGCAACTAAGCAGCTACTTTAAGGATGCTTTCACCTATTGTCTGTAGCTAACTACTGTCTTTGATGCTAAAGGGCAAGATCATTGGGATCTTCATCTTTTATGATACTTACATAACAGATCTTTAGCACACCCAATCTGTAACCAGGCTAATGGGTGTTGCCACCATTAAAATCATTACAATAAAAATTACTTAAATGTAGCAGATGGAAAAAAAAATGAGAGAAAAAGGATAAAAAAAACCTCTCAGATGAGAACACTGTCTACAGCAATCAGATAACTGAAAGATGAGCAGAGGGAACAGAAATAGGATAAACAAAGATAGAGCAATGCCTCTTCTCCAGTGTGGCAAAGTTTTCCCAAAATCCCAGTTGAAAATACAGACAAAGGATCTAGAGAGTTCACAAGAGTCATGGTTATGGGAAATGGGGAAAGAAAACAATAAATTGAGGCTATTAACCACTTAATTGCTAGAGGTCTGCTAAATCTGCAGTTTCCTATCTATGGTTTCCTAACCAGGTACCATTTGATTTTCCTCCAAGGAATGTAGGAAACCTTGAAATCACACAGTGGTTTTTGATAACATGAGAATAGACTGAAAAGCCCCAGGGTAACAAATTCACATGCTGTGGAGTGATGTCTGATACATTTAATTGCATTTGAGAGAAAGTTTGTTGTGACAGCTGTGGAGTAGGATGGCCGGAAGGCTAGGTGGACTTGCAAAATGAGGAGGAGATTTCTGCCTAAAAATAAAGTCATGGAGTTCTTCCATCACTTAGAAAGATTGGGGGGGGAGGGGGGGGGGGGGGGGGAAGAAAGCTTTATGATCATGAAGAGTGAAACAGAAAAGCAGACATTTCTCAAAGACTGCTTTTCCTCATCTGGGAGAACATTTAATCAGTTGGAAAACC